CAATCCCTTCTCCTCCATTCTCCTCTTGGGATCTTGGGCATGCCCGCACACGTGCCTGGCATGAGATTTAAGCCACCGGGTCCGGGACGCGAACCGTGGTCGACTACATGGGAATCCAGCTACATAGCCATTACGCTAACTGCTGGTCCCCTGGTGAAAGATCTGAGTGTAGGAGTGGACAAGAAACAAGGTATTTCTTCTCTCTCTACTTGCTCTGGCAGTTTCAATGTGACCAAGTCTTTTCTGTGGTTCTGGCTCCCATTGGAGAGTTTCCACCGTGACTCTGGCTTTTGCCAGATGACCCCTCCACTTGCACCCAGTAACACCGGCTCCTGCAGTCCGATGAGGCACAGCTGCTTGTTGCCATAGCTTATCGCTAGGTTGCCTTCCTGTCCCCTGATCATTTCTGAGCTCGTCTGTCATTTGCATGACCAAGTTACATAACCATATTAAATGATCTCTGTTTACTAAAACCTGGACTGGTTTCTCTTTCCTTCCTGGACCCCGACCCATAGAGTAGGCTCATCCTGTGTGTTCTCGCTCTATGGATTCTAGAGTGAAAAACCATCGTAAAGGATACCGTTGGGTTAATTGGAAGAAATCTGACATAGTTTTATTGCATAAGTGCTACATTTCTTGGACATAATTGTTATTATGGTTGTGTAGTGGGACAAAGGTCCTTGATCTTAGGAGAAATCACCTAAAGTATGCAGGGGTCAAAAGTCATGACGTCTGCAAAATACCTTCAACTGGTTTAGAGAAAAAAGTATATGTGTATATAGGAAGGGAATCCCAAAGTTCATGAAAAAAAAAAATAGAATTAAAGCACAAATTTATTTTGGTGCAAAACAGTTTTGAAATCTGTCTTTGAAGCTCCGCTGTACTGTGTGTCTGCATAGAGAGACAAGCAGACGTCTAGTACAGACAAAGCAGAAGCTGGCGATACCAGGGGAATGGCTTTACTGTGCTCTTCCTATTTCCCTGTGGCTTTGAAAGGTTTTTTAACACAAAAGGAGGAGTGGAACTTAAGTTCATACAAGAAGCTGGTCATATTTTTTGCCTGCAAGCTCCTGGATGACTGGGGACAGGAGGAGGGTGTTTTTCCATTATAGTATACACCTTTCTGTACTTTTTTCTTTTAACGAGATAGAAAGATGGGAGAAAGTGGTGGGGTATAGGGGGAAAGAAAGAGGAAGGGAGAGAGAGAGACAAAGACAGAGGTATTTTTTGACAGTTTCTTATGTCAGGATTCTCCTGCCCCGGCTTCCCTAGAATTACAAGTGCAAGCAACCACACCCATGTGTTCAGGTTAGTTAGAACCAAACATGGGCCTCCCATGTGGCTTCCAGCCTCTCAACTGCATTAAAGTTTGATTTTATTATTATTATTTTTTATGTTTATCTACCTATTTCTTCCATGAGCAAGAGTTTAGGCATGTGTCTTTTTCTTTTTTTAAGAGAGATTTTTTTGCCATAAGGTGCATGTGCTTGCCAGACAAACAGACAGAAAGCGAGAAATCACCCCACGGGGGGATGACCATGCTGCAATCCCTTCTCCTCCATTCTCCTCTTGGGATCTTGGGCATGCCCGCACACGTGCCTGGCATGAGTTTTAAGCCACCGGGTCCGGGACGCGAACCGTGGTCGACTACATGGGAATCCAGCTACATAGCCATTACGCTAACTGCTGGTCCCCTGGTGAAAGATCTGAGTGTAGGAGTGGACAAGAAACAAGGTATTCCTTCTCTCTCTACTTGCTCTGGCAGTTTCAATGTGACCAAGTCTTTTCTGTGGTTCTGGCTCCCATTGGAGAGTTTCCACCGTGACTCTGGCTTTTGCCAGATGACCCCTGCCACTGTGACCCACTTGCACCCAGTAACACCGGCTCCTGCAGTCCGATGAGGCACAGCTGCTTGTTGCCATAGCTTATCGCTAGGTTGCCTTCCTGTCCCCTGATCATTTCTGAGCTCGTCTGTCATTTGCATGACCAAGTTACATAACCATATTAAATGATCTCTGTTTACTAAAACCTGGACTGGTTTCTCTTTCCTTCCTGGACCCCGACCCATAGAGTAGGCTCATCCTGTGTGTTCTCGCACATTGTAGGAACACAATACATGTTCAGTTATAACCATGTTAATGAAAGCCGGAAACCAGGGCCAGCCTGGTGCAGTGGTGATGCGCCACACAAGCCATACTAGATCCATATGCAAGGTTGCAGGTTCAGTTTCCTGGCTGACGTGCAAAGCAGCTATGCATGCCCGTGGACCTGGCTGACGTAGGGCTGGAGTAGATTGCACTATGGGATTGCAGTTGAGGGTGCTTATCTTAATTCTTTGGTTCTTACTTTCATGAAAGAAAGAAAGAAACTTGAAAAAAAAATAAAGACCAGTTTATCTAAAGGAAGTTGTGCCCTGGTGAATTTACTTACAAGTCAGGCTGATTGAAAGTATATTGTTGAAACTCCTGGAAAACAAAAGTGGCAACATTTTCCTAAGGTGTTTTTCCAAATTACGCTCTCTGTGGTGTCAAAACAATAGATTTATTTGATCTCATAGATCTCTTCCATTTCTATCAACTGTGACTTACTGTGGAAGGGGTCCTTGGTTTGGGTGGGTTTATATTTTCAGTCATGGCAGAGCTAGTTGCTTTGCTAATGACTCTGTACACTTGGCCTTCCCATCAGAAGCCTGGTTGTTGTGACCTGCACAGTCCTGTTTACATGCCAACCCCTGTTCTTGGCTTGCACACAAGGATTCCCACAAAGGTTCCATTTGAGTTGGTGGTTTCCAAGATTGGGGGTGTCTGGCTGCCGGCACTGGATTTGAGACCACCAGCTTGTTTTTCCAAGGATTAATATCTCAGTGATCTCCAAACATATTTTCTTTTCCAGAATACTTTCCAAAAGGTTTGTAAGAATGTCTCTCAAACTTTTTTCTTTTGAAGGTATAAGGGCCTAAGGGGAAGGGGTAAGGGTAATATAAATTATAACTTGGCAGACTAGTTATTTAAAACTTTATCCAAAAAAATATTTTTCTCCTTAAAAAAAGAAACCCCTCTTTACATATTTAAGTAATCCATTTGGGAGTAATAGCCACTCAGTTGTTCACATAGCCAGCCCTTGGCAGCTTTAGTTCAAAATGCTTTGAAACTAGTCAACTACAAAGCCTCAAATGTTTTCCCTTTGAAAACCCAACTAACCTTCACTACCATGGTGGTGAGAAAAGTGACAACTCATTTTTAAAGATTCTCCCCGTTTCTTTGTCTTTTTTCTACAGGCCATGTGTTTATACTATGGGATCTCCCATAAACAACAGGGCCCTTTTTCCATGCCAGGAGCCACCCGTTGCCATGTCAACATGGCAGGCTACAGTTCGAGCAGCTGCATCTTTTGTTGTTTTAATGAGTGGAGAAAACTCTGCCAAGCCAACACAGCTTCGGGAAGGTACTGTACATGTGTTCTTTGCTTATTTATGTATTGCACACATGCTGGACCCAGGAACCCAATAAGCAGTGTTTTTTAAACTTTAAAGAGCTCCTTTATTAGTTGGGTTGGAAATGAACATACTATAAAACATCCTGCCAGAGAAAACAAGCAGGAGATGGGGAGGGGCAATTAGAAGCCTGGGCATGGGACTTGGGGCTCGTCGTGCCAGTTATCAATTGGTAGATTATTTCAGCAGTTACTCTCACCTGTTGATTTGTGGGCCAGATGTGGGTGGTCTTGGTTGAAGACTTTCTGGGCAGACAAGTGTGTCATGAAAACCTCATTATAGTTGAGTTAGCTGTGGTTTGGTCATGGTGTCTGTACATTCTTATTCATGATGTTTAGAGACAATGCTTCTGTTGGCTGGCCTCCTGGAATTGTCCTGGAAAAGGACATGTCATTTGCCTGTAGGAAGTTCTAAACCAAGGTGGAAGTCAATGCTAATGCAACCTCAATGTTTTATCTGTGAATCACTTGCTTATTGGTGAGATCCTGAGCATGTTGTTGCCAGGTGAAGTTTTTGTCATTGTAGTATTTATTTAAAATATGGTGTCTCGGGCTGGCATTTGGTGTGATGGTTAAGGGGCTGAACTCCCATGTGGCTGACCATGGTTCCAGTCTTGGACCTGGAATCTTGCTTTCCTATTTTCACATTCTTTCTCTCTGTTTCTCTCTGGTCAAATTAAACAAATAATAAGGATGATAATAAATTAAATAAAATAATTCTTAAAAAGGAAAAATGGTATTTCACAGGTGGGGTGGGATAGAAATGGGGACTGATATCTCATCAGGTGGTGGTGGTTAAAGGTTGATTCCCACATGGCCGTCCATGGTTTGGGTCCTGGACCAGGTGACTTGCTTTCTCACTTTCCCTTTCTCTTTCTCTCTCTGGTCAAATTAAAAAATTATAATGAAGGAGGCTCTGGGCCTCACATGGCCACCTTTGTAATTTGAATCCCAGATCCTGCGGTTTGAAAATTATGCCAGGTAGATGTACATGTGTGCCTAAATTTCCTAGAGGAGAATGGAAGAGAAAGGACTGCAGTGTGGCCATCCCTCCAGAGGGCATGATTTCCCACTTTCTCTCATTCTCTGATGAGTGCATGCAGCCTATAGGCCTATAGGAAAGAAAAAAGTTAAGGATGATATCTTATCTCTTATCATATTCATGAAAAGTATTTTTTTCTAGTTTTTAGAATGCTTTTAAATTTTGTATGCTGTTTCTGATCTAAAGAAAATTAAAATTTTTCTGAAGTCAAATTTATAAGGTTTCTCTTGTAGTCTTTCTTTGCTCTAAGAGTCACCAGTTTTGTTCTAATCTTTTTGTAGTTTAATTTTTAGAATTTAACTCTTTAATCTCTCTGTAGTGTACTCTTAACAGAGCTGTTAGATACGAACTAAGCATTATATTTTTTCCCAAATAAAAAACTAATTACTCTAAGATCATTGATTGTATCTTTTCTTACTCGTGATATCTTCTTTATAGGTATATGTTTTTAAAGTTTCTGTAATACGCATGTGGGAGGAGAAGCCATATTTTATAAGCTAGATTTACATATATACTAAAGTCTTCAGTGAGCATGTACTTGATTTTCACAATAAAAACAAAATAAATAAAACACATTAAATTTTTTTATTTTTAGAAATAGGCAAATAGCTTTATTTACAAGTGAAAAGAACAAAACTCTTGGAATAAAGTGTCCTTTGTATTTCTGTTTCCCAGTCACCTAGTCACTTCCCCCAGGCAGCAAGGTTACCAATTTCTTTTGTAGGATGTGTTTTTTTCTCTTTTTTTGCATAGTCATAGCATGCTATACACATTTTTGTCCTGTGCTTACCCCTTTAGAATAACTTTCTTTTGGGGACCAGCATTTGGCTCAATGACTATGTCGCCATTAGTCAATTGCGGTTTGAGTCCCAGACCTGGTGACTTAAACTTATGCTGGGCACGTGTGCGTGCGTGCCCAAGATCCCGAGAGAATGGAAAAGGGATTGCAGCGTGGCCATCCACGTATATTTTTACTATATGTGGATGTTTCACAATTCATTTAACTAGTAGCTCTGGACTTCATTCCATATCAAATGAGGAATTTAACGATGGCCATGTCCTTCCATTGTCCTTTCCCACCCACATTCCTCATTTTATTTTTGAATGATAGTGCACATGCATGAAAGAGAGGCACCCTCAGTAGGATCCTGTTATGCTGCATTCCCCTTACTCTAATCCTCCAACTCCTTAGGATCTTGGGCACTCACATGCCTCTGGCATGTTTTCAGGCTGACCCATGGGATCTGAACGTGTGGTTGGCTATATGGCTTCCAGCCTTGAAGGACATTTGAGTCACTGTTTCACCACAGTGGCTGGATCAGTATTTCATTTTTTAGTTTTATTTTTATTATTTATTTATTTATTCCATGAGCGAAAGAGGAAGCATCCCTAACAGGGCTCTCATGCCATAACCTACCCCCAGCCTCAGCCAGGCCCAGACTGTAGGCATATACAAGTCCAGCATGTTTGAGGCAGTCTCCACATGTGTACCTGGAACCTTCCAGGTGGGTCAGCCTTGTAGACCATTATCTTGCCACCACACCACCAGTGGGCTGCACATTCCTCAATTGTAATTAATAAAGAGATTTGGGACTCTTACTATCCATACTTTGTTGTTGTATTGTATCTTCCTTTCTATTATACAAATTACTATTATTGTTTCACATTTTTAATCAGCTTTAAATCATATTTTTAGTAAATATTAGATTTGCTTCATTCTTGTCTCTTAAGTTTAAATCATCTCTCAGTTGGCTGGAAAATGGCTTCATATTTTTTTCTAAAAAGGTGGATTTATGGTATATTTCCTGAGTGCTTCTATGTTCAAATTGGCCTTTTGTTGTAGTCACTTAACAAACGATCTTTGGGTAAGTACAGAATTCTTAAGTCACTTCTTTTCTCTCTTTAACGACTATAAATATTTTCATTATCTTTCATTTAGTATTTCTGAGAAAAAATCTGATTTTTTTTTTCATTCTTTGAAAGTTGTTTGATTTTCTTGCTTAGGTGTTCATAGAATTTTTTTTGTAACTTATGTAATTCAAAACTTTCTAAGATGGCTCTAGATGTGAATGCCTTTGTTTTTAGTCAACCTTATTAAGTATAATTTACGTATAATAAATGAATACATTTTCAATGTTGCTCAATGAGATTTGGCAAATATATACACCTGTGTAACTTATGACCACCCCTGTGATGGTAGAATACATTTTCATTAACCCAGGAATTCCCTTGTGCCCTCTCACTCATTCTTGCTCTGCTCCCTCCCAGACAGCCGCTGGTCCGATTTCCATGGCTGTGGGTTAGTTTTACCTCTCCTCTAAATTCATATAAATGGAGTCATTCAGTGTACACTCTTTTGTGTCTGGTTTCTTTTAGTCAGTAAAGCCTCATGTGTGGTAGTGTTTCTCAATCTTAAACATTGTTTTTCTTCTTAGAGGGGGAAAAAGTCTGAGAAGTCACCAGGATTGACTTGAATGATTCATATTAAAATATTTTAAAAAACTGTAACCTAAGATGAGATACCAACTCTGTGTACTAACTCTTATACATCTGTCGAGCCAAAATAAAATTGCAAGGTAAACACAGACCAAACTACTAAATCAATAAAGTTAAAAATTAACTATTTAAATTTAGGGAGAAGGTTAATATTTTACTGAAAGGAAATGGCCCCTCACAATACGAATGTGGAATCATTGGCTCCATGCTGTTGCTTTTGAGACGAGTTACATGTTCTACCCTGAGCCATGCAAAGACCAGTTCTCTACTGCTCTCCTGTCTGCTGCAGGACTTTTGCTTCCAGAGATGCCGTAATGTCATTTGGACTTCACTCAGCCCAAAGCTTCATTTTTATTTCTCATTATCTCTCAGTAAGTATAGCAGTCCTACATGTCCTTGTGCATTCGTGTACATTAAATACACACATGTGGAGCTATGAAGGCATTTGGCAGCTCTCAGTATATCCGGATGATTGTAGGGGTCAGCAAACAGCCCACTGGCCAGACCCAACCTACTGCCTGTTTTTGTAAATAAAGTTTTATTGGATCACAGCTATGTTTGTGGCTTCTGTGATGCCATAATATCCAAGTTGAACATGTACAACAAAGGCCCACAAAGTCCTTTCCAGAAAAATTTTCCTGATATCTACCATATATATTTGTCTGTGGGTCTGTTTTCTATTTGAAGATGATCATGAAAAATTGAAATATGAATTAACCTTAAAATTTCAATGGAGGGACCAGTCGTTAGTGTAACGGCTATGTCGCTGAACTCCCATGTAGCTGACCACGGTTCGAGTCCCAGACCTGGTGACTTAAACTCACACTGTGTGCGTGTGTGCCCAAGATCCCAAGAGGAGAATGGAGGAGAAGAGATTGTGGCATGGCCATCCCCCCTGGGGGATGATTTCTCACATTCTGTCTCTCTGTCTCTCTGTCTTTCTGGCGAGTGCATGCACCCTATAGCAAAGACCTCTCCAAAAAATTTTTTTTTCAGTGGAAAACCTTGTAAGATCTCAGGGCTACAAGAGAGAACTTCAAAAAGGTTGTGGAACATCAGAAAGTTTGAAGAGAACTTCAAAAAGTTTATTGAAAAGTGCAATTAAAGTGTAAGTTTATTTTAGTGCAAAAAAAAAAAAAGTTGAAATCCATGCACTATTTTCATACTACGCATTTTCCATTGACATTTTGAAGACCCTTTGTATGTCTGGATTTTTTTTCCCCCTGCAGTACTAGTTTAGGGCAGAGTTAAAGTAGATGCTAACTTGAATTTGCTTATATTCATACCACTTATGGTTTTAAAAAACTTAATTGCCAGAGGTTACATGTGCTTTCCAGAAACAGAAAGAGAGAATGTACGTGCATGTGTGTGTGAGAGAGGGGAAGCACTCCTTAGTGTGGCGTGATCATGTCCT